GACGCAATTTTTTGTATCATTCGAAAGCTATTGTTGTCCTGAGCTAAAATTTGAAAAATTATTTTACCTGTGATTATTTTTTGTAAAGTTGTTGGAATTTAAAGATAGCCATTTTGGCCAATTTGGGACAATTAACGCGCGATATATTTCGCAATATTAACGCATAAGCAGATGTTTAATTCGTATTAGAAATCGTTCCAAATTGGTTGAAGGAAGCTTAATTGCCATAATTAATGTGTTACTAGGAGCGAAATTTATCACTTTGTACTTTATTTGGCGTTTGGGGGAATGATTTCTTACAAAAAACCTCAATTTTGTTTTCAAAAAAATTTTCATTTCATTTATATTACATTTAATTTTTTCTTGCTATTACTGCTCCATAGGCCTTAAAAGGCAGTGGGAATATTCAGGGCTTTGCCCTGATACGAGCAGTCTTGTTGTTCCGACTTTCGTAACGAAAGTAACGAAATATTTGTGCTCGGGGTGGGTTTTTTTTTCTTCGGACAACTTTCGACGTTTTAACTAGCCATTTTTGAAGAATTTTTTTCTACATTATTCAAAAGCTCTTGTCCCAAGCTGAAATTTGAAAAAAAAACCACCACGAGCACAAATATTCCGTTATTTTCGTTACGAAAGTCGGAACAGCTACCGACAAATTGCTTGTTATAACGTTGTTGTCGCGACGGATCATCATGGTCGGAAAAGTCTGGAAATGTCAGGTTTTGGTCGCCAAAGTCTGTACATGCCTAGTTTTGCTCTGGAAAGTCTGGACATGCCAAAATTTTGTCGCGACAGTCTGGACATGAGTCTGGGACCTCGACCCGGGTACAGTGCAAAATAGGGTGCTTCAAAAATGGGGTTTGCCGAACGGTACTTCTTTACACCTAATGTGGCAATATAAGTAAAGGATAATAGCTTCTCAAACTATCTGGTTTATCATGACTGATAAGTTTTGATAACTCGATATACTGCAAGAGCTCTAATAATAGCTTTGGAGTCAGTTAAAAAATTGATTTCACATCAGATAGCCCGGGTCGAGGCCCGCGACTTAAGAAAAGATCGGCGCGACCGAAACTTGGTTATTGAAAACCGGCACGATTGAAAAAAACCACCGCGACTCAAAACACCGTGGGAACCGACGCGACCTAAGGTAATGGCGCGACTGGCGCGACTGAAAGTTTTATTTAAGTTTCAAGCGGTTAAACTAATACAATACAAGAAGTAGCTCATCGCCCACTGAAGCTAGGAACGTTGAAGGAATAACAAAAAGCCCACATGTTTTCTCCTGTTTTGTGAGCCAACCTTGCGCATAAGCGCATCAGGGTCGCGTCATATTCAATTCTAGATAGTTTTGAAGCATCATAATATTACTTCGCTTGCTGGCTTTAACCGATATCTGAAAAAAGTTTTTTTTCGTTTTAGGTGTCATGGTATAACGATTCTTCCTGGCAGTTTTCCTTCATCAATGAGATAAACGTGATCTTTGGTTATTTTTCTCTTGATTTCACTATAACATGGTAATCCCAGTTATAGTGTAATTTTGTTGATTTGATATTTTGTCAATTTGTTATTCAATTTTGTTAACCTATTGATTCTTTTGAAAATGTCCCAATTCTGCGTTTTGAAGTAATTTTTTCAGAACTGTTCGTTACGTTAAATTGCAGCAAAAATTTTCCTCCGTCTTTATCGGGGAAAAGTTTCTAGAAAAATTATTATTTTTTTTGGAGTAGAGCTTCAGGTGAATTCTAAGGTTTCACAAGCTTTTCTTATCAGAACTTGAAGTTCTTACAATAACTTGGATATTCACAGCAATATTGGTGACCATAGAAAAATTTGTCGTGCATATTGGTCAAAACACTGTTTTTGCACCAGACCAACCATATCATTTTGATCCTGGTGTCATCTGGGCAGTTAGTTCATCAAAAGTTTCTCTGGCTCTTTGAAATGGCTACACCATTGTCACTGATATTTCTTATGCACCAATAACTATATAATCAGCAAGACTTGCCATGTAAATACCCAAAAGGCAAAAAAAAATATATTTTTGCTTAGCTGAAGAAGTATTTGCGTAATGGGCACAATTTACTATCTGAAGTCATAAATTTTCGTAAGAATTCAGCGTTTGGTAAATCCGACAATCACGTGGCAGAAGATTTTTTGTATTTGGCAACTTTAGGGACCATATTTTTCGCGGATTCCTTATTTGGTAACTAAGATAACTTGTGCTAAACGTTTTATCCTTTTTTTTAGGTTGGTAACCATTTTTGCATTTCTTATATCTAAGTTTTGAGACTAACTCAGAAGATGTTTTTAGGAGTACTCAGAAGTACTCAGAAGATGTACAGGCATTATTGTTATAAATTTTAGTAATGTCTGCAAATAACAAATCTTCAAACTTGATTTAAATTTCTCATTGAATGTTTGAGTTGTTTCAGATATTTCGGCCTTCTTCGAATGTTTTGGTTTTGTCCCTGTTTCATGGTTTTAAATCCTTGCTCCATTACTTTTTCTTAGAAAATTCGCATGTTCAGTTTCGATGAAAAAAAATTTAATTCTGCTCTTGACATTTTTCCTTTAGTTGTTTTGCTGTTTTGTGTGACAGATCTTGAAAAAAAATTGCTTTGCATACAAAAAATAATTTCAAAATTTTGGCCTGGGCATATGTATCATGGGCAACATTTGATCTCTGTCGGTTTTTTTGAGAAAGTCTTTTCATGCTTTTGGTTTGGAGGGTTACTTTGAGGCATTTGGTTTCTCCTGTCGCGGAGTTTATGTCTTCCGGTCGCTTTTCTGGTTTGGTTATTGAGAATTTTTTGCAATCCTCAGAGTGGAGTTTTCTCTTCGATGTTCGAATCAATGAAGTTGTAGTTTTCTTTCGTTTATAATCCCGAATTGGCTTGGATGGAATTCCAGTATTTGACGCATTATTTTTTCCGCCTTTTTGCAAGTGAATCTTTTTGCTGGATATTTGTTTTAGCATGGAGAGAAAATTTTTTAGCAAAAGCAGGAAAACTTGGATTGGTTGTTCGTTTTATCAAATTTAACAAATTTTACCCCTTCTGTTCATATTTTTTGATATGTAAAACCTGGTTCTCATTGAAATCATGGAATCATGTTTTAAGTTGAACCTTGACTGGATAAAATTTCCAGATGAATAGCTTGAGTTAGTTGGGTTCGAATGCTGGTATGCATGGCCTCAGTCCTGTACTAGTGCTGATTTGAAGTTGACAGAATTGCCAGGCGTATGCAACGCTCTCTTCAAAACAGGTACAAGCTCTTTATAAGTGTTAAAAATATCTTGGTGAAACACTTGGTAAAGCACTCTATTCTTTTCTATATTAGACTTTTACTCTTTCAAAAACTTGAAAGTTTTGAAGTATTTGGTTGCATATGATAATTTTTTCAATTTTTGTTATTTTTCCCTTTTGTGTTAATCTGATTCCAATTTGGCATGTAAATAGCTTTGGCGGATTTTCCAATTCGAATCTGATTCCAATTTGGCGGATTTTCCAATTTGGCATGTAAATAGCTTGTTTCCAGATCAATTGTTGTAATTGGCACGTAACAGCCGGCCTGATTAGCAGTAACAAAGAGGGTTGGGGTGGTTCCTAAACATAAAACCTTGTTATTGGCGTTTCCTTAAGTTGACTCTGCTGATATTGGTTGTGGCTGTCTGTGCTATGCTGAATTCATCGAGGATTTCAATTTGTTGATGATGGTTGTTGTTGGTTGATGCCGTGGAGTCTGCTGATCTCTTTAGTCGTTCTTGCTGGCTGATGTGATGCTGCTGCTGTTAGTGTTGCTGAAGTTTGAGTTTATGCTCTACGAGCAAATAAAGATTAGTCTTTCTCCGCCATTCAATAAAAAATTCTTTCCAAACTTGTGCGTGCTGCAGTCCGAATCTTTTTTTAAATCATTTTGTTTGTAGTTTTAACGTGCAATTAGATGAGGTGCATGTGATCCTCGCGTTTTGTCCTGACGTATTGTCTTGTCTAACTGATGTCTTATTCTCGATTTTAAAACGTTGCGTGCTGGGTGGTTGTTCATAAAAGCTGATGCCTCCTGGAGTCTTCAGTTTCTTGCGGCGTTTCCAAATGCATTGTTGTGATTGAATCCGTAATGTTGATTTCTGTTTGCATCCAAATTTAGTAAAAGAGATTGCCTCACAAGGGCTTTTGTCTCCGTGTTGATACACGTTGATTTTTTGCCGGCAGTTTCGCTTTTTGAATTGTCTTTTGTGGGGTTACCAATGTCTTTTTTTTCTTCTGTTGGGCTCATAACTGTTGTTTCTTCTCAGATCAGATGCCGGGGTAAAAGTTCGTCGTTCTGTGTTGGTGTTGAGAACTGTCGTTGGAAGGGGCTACTTTCGTTGATTAAACCTCAGTCAGTTTTTTCTAGTAGACAATTGTAAGTGCTGTCGTTGGTAAACTGAGACGTTTGTTGAAAAGTGATTTCCTTGTTTTGGGTTGCTGCTAAGTCGTTTAAGGTTTGTCTGGGGT